GGACTGTGGTTACTGAAAATTTCTACAAACAAGGCAGAGGAGAGTTCTGGGTTCCTTGCTGGAGACTGTAGAAAAGGAAACCTGGAGGGGCACAAAGATTTGGGTGCGCGGAGGCCAAGGGTGGGATGCTGATTCCTGACAGTAGCCGGGCAATGGAAGGTCACAAGAAGTGGAACCAGCTTTGGATGAGGACAAAAGGAGAGTGGCTTAGGAGGCTCAGTACTGGGACATGAGAACGACATAGGCCACTTGGCCAGAAGGAGGCCATAGGGATTGTGTTTCCTAATCAAGGCTAAGAAATGGGCACGGAGGCCAGAGAAAGCAGTGGTGGGGACCAAGTGGTGGAGCTCAGTGTCAAGCTCTGATGAGCTCCTGACTTGCCAGCTGATGTCTGAGTTCATGGGCAAAGGCTGCTCAGGACATGATTCTGACTAACAGAAAAAGAGCTGATTGGTGAAGGGAGAGATCGGAACCTCCACAGGAAGCCACTGTGGAATTTGAGTTCATAGTATATCTGAGGCAGGAAAGGATGAAGGGGCAAAATTAGGTACATCCAGATTTCTAAAACGCACATTTCAAAAATTCAGAGAAAAGGATCAGAAGATGTAATTCTCAAGACAATATAGTTCAAGAGGTTTTAAAACCGAGTCCTGACAATAAAGTCATAAATTATCCTGAATAAAAAAAAGAGGACAGCATCTAAAAATAGAAGTGGCCACACAGGGAGCTCTCTAAAATCTGCACACAGATTTTAGAAGTCCTCATGTTCTTAAAAAACTATTGACATACTTTTAAAGAATATGAATTTGAATCTAGTGGATTCAAATTCAGGGTGGTTAAGACACAGCCTTTGGAATCAGGGAGCATTTGAATCCTGACTCTGCTGTGTGACGTTGGGTAACTCACTGAGCCTTTCTGAGCTCTGTTATCTCATTTGTAAAATGGGGCCATCAACAAAAAGAAACAGTATGTGAAATCTGTACTAGAATGTTTAGCATACAGTCAGTGCTCAATGTTAGCCATTCTTACTATTCCATAAAAATACAAGGATCCCTGGTCAGTGTGGCTCAGTTGGTTGGAGCATCACACCGAAAGGTCTCAACTTCTATTCCTGGTCCAGGGCACATGCCTGGGTTGCAGGTTTGATCCCCAGTTGGAGAGCCTACCAGAGGCAACCAGTTGTTTTTCTCTCACATTGGTGCTTCTCTCTCTTTCTGCCCCTTTCTCTCTTTCTAAAAGCAATGAAAAATGTCCTCGGGTGAGGACAAAACAAATAAAAAAAATACATGGAGAGAGTGTTGATCAAAGGGCCAATGCAAAAGGAATGCACAAATGGGGAAGAACCATACCAGGAAGGTTAAGCACAGGCGACCTGACACCTGTGAAATGCATGAGGAATGCACAGGGGCCCTTTTGGTAAAATCATCGAGAAGGGAGGTAGACATCAGGCCCAGCACAGCCAAAGTATTGTCAGTGGTGACAGAGGAAGGGCAGGACAGGGACTCCTCCTGTCACTGCTGTCTCTCCCTTGGAATGATGTACTTGAATGACAAACACAACTAAGATGGAATTGAAGGCCAGAGGAGCTCATTCCTCCCCACCTTGAATGAGTTCCAGTTGCTCTGTTACGGGGCAGGGCACTGACTGGTCTTGATCTAAGTGAGCAACTTTTGAAGATTTGTTGGAGGAAATGCAGAGAGGTCGGGAGCCTGTGAAAGAGTACATGAGGCTTTTTCAAAAATAGGGGAAAGGATAGACTTAGAAAATACAGAGATGTACTTGGTATCCATCCCTGGCAAAGTTCTAGAAGCAGTGTTTTAACTGAGATGATTATTGCAGGGGACTCCTAACTGGCCTCTCTGCTTCTGCCCTGCCCACTCCACACCCCCATGCTATTCTCAGTCTAGCATCCAGAGGGATCCCCTTAAGTCAAATCATACCATGTCTGCTCAGCACCCTTTGGGGCTCTTCCTCTTAAGGGAAAGAAAAGCCCAAGTCCTTCCAATGGCCCACAAAGCTCAATGCAATTGCCCAGCTATTTCTCTGACCTCAGGTCTCATGGTTACTCCTCCCCTTCCCTCTCTTGCTCTGACCATACTAGCATCTTGCTCTTGGCTTTCACCCATGCTATTCTCTTTGCCTTGATCAGTCTTCCCCCAAATGTCACCTTTTCAACAAGGTGCTGAGCACCCTGTGTAAGCCCTCACAACTGCTCTCATCCTCTTCCCCCCTTGACTTACGTTTATCTCCATAGCACTCATTACTGCCCAACATACTATGTATTCTTACTTACTGATCCTGTTCATCAACTTTCTCCCCTCACGAACATGCAAGGCCCCACTCAGAGAATTTCGCCTGCATACCCAGTTCCTGGAACTATGCCTGCTACATAGTCACATTCATGAAATATTTGTCACTGGGAGGGAGTGAGGAGGGAGGGAGGAAGATGGCTTGCTATGCTTAGAAAGAGTTCAACAGACTAGGGTGACCAACCATCCCAGTCTGCCTAGTGCTCAGACCAGGAACATCCCGATTGGCCAACCTACAATTTCTGTGATACAGGGATGACACTGATCGCTCCCGGGGATGCCACAAACTCACTGTTACCTCGCTTTGACACTGACTCCCACAGAGTCAGCCTTGTGGGAGACCGCAGAAATGTTAGCTGCAGGATAGTATATTTAAATGGTTTGCAGTCGTCTGAGTGGCCACACCAGATGCATTGATTGATAGACCCATGTCAGGCTGGTGGGAAGGCTGTTGCTATGAGCCACACAATGTGTCTGCCCAGGTCTGCTCTGCAGCCTGTCTGAGCTGAGGATGATGACACAGAAGGCAGGAGAGCCCAGCAGTGACTGCACCAGGGAGGGAAGCTAATCTGTTCATCAGTGAGGCTGGGTTTGGAAGTCATCTCGACAGATTGACATGGCAGGTCTTACATAACAACTTAAAATTTAAACAGAAATAAATATTGCTTTCTATTTAGGGTTAAAAAAAGCAATCTTTGATGTACAGAAGAGACCAGATAAATAGCGATTTTGTTTTAAACCCAGCACTTTTAGTTGCCTACACACTTGGTCTAGTGTGAAAGCTGACTTCAGATACCACGTGGGCCTGTTAATAGCCACCTGGGGCACGGTCCCACTGTCATCCCACCTGGCTGGAACGCACCTGAGCTACACGCCCAGCTCTGTACCAGGAGGAGGCTGCTCATTGCATTGGCTCCATTTCTAGCTATTCTAGGACACAGCAACCCATGAGGTGCCTTTTTTTCTTCTCCCTAACTCACCATGTCCCTGCAATGTCATCCCCTTCCAGGAGAAACAGGCCACTTGTTCGCATCCTCCCTCCAGCTCACCTAACTTCTCAGGGTGGCCGAGGTGCCGAGGACATGGGGACTCAGTTAAGAGCTAGTTAAATCACAACTGCTTCTTCTCCCCAGAAGAATGGACTCATTTTCAAGGCCTCAAGCAGCTGAAAGTTCCAGTGCCACCAGAATGGCATCCCCTTTCCCAGGGCCTCCCCCACACCCACCGAGGGTTTCCTGTCTATAGCTGGGGAGTCTGAGGGAAAGGAAGGGAGTGGAGGGGCCTCCGACCTTCCAAGCCCAGGCACATTCAGAGTCTTCTGAGCTAGTGCGTCCGAGGCCCTGGGCCTCTAGCTGTGCTGCTGCTCACTTTTGGGGTTGCTCTGAAGAGCCCAGGCTCCTAGGGGGCTGTGGGGGTGGCGATGAAGATGCTTGTGGGAGAGGGCCACGGGGCTCCCCAGGCTTTCTACGACTCTGGGAACTTATTTAAGGGAACAGCACCTCGAATCTCTGTGCCATGTGGGCCCGTCAGAAAGGCAGCAGCTGCCTATAGTCCTGGAGGAAAGGAGGGCCATTGACCTCTGGCTCCAGTTTTCCACAGTTCAGAAGGGCCCTGCCTGCCTCTTCTCCACAGACCTTCTGGACCACAGAGGGTGGATCCAACCCTCACAGATGGCCAGTGGGCCAGATCCCCCGGCCAGCTCCGGTCAGTTGGCAGAGCTGCCCAGCATGTAGTCATGGTGGTCCCAAAGTTCACCAGGAAAGAGGTGTTTGGAGTGTCAGCCACGGTGCTGGGAGGAAGAGAGCGTCTCTGCTTGGCCAGCCCCTTCCACCACAGAACACGTCACGTGCCCATGGGAAAGAGTGCACATGAATGGTGCCTGCTGATCTGAGCAGCTGCCAGTGAAGTGGGGAGGAGCACAGGGACTGTCCTCCAGCCCCTCCCCCCGCTCTCCCCTGGGGACCTGAAGCAGGAGTGAAACATTCTGGCCACCCCAGTCTACAGTTCAGAGGTTCTCAGAGTGTGGTCCCTAGGCCAGCAGCAAGTGTCACCTGAAGACAAGTTAGAAATGCAAATTCTCAGGTCCTGCCTGGATCTAGATCAGGAACTCTGGGTGCGGGGCCCAGCCACCAATGTGTAGCAAGCCGTGGGGTGGTCCTGAGGCAGGCTGAGCAGCCTAAGTGGAAGAAGGCTTCTAAACTGGCGTCCGGGGAGAACCCTGCTCTCCTGTGTTCGTGAGAGAGGGGCACTGCCTCTGCCGTGGGTGAGTGTGTGCTTTCTAGGTCCAGTGGAGCCTCACGCTTTGTCTCCTAGCCTGGCTCCTACCAGTGTATACATTTGACTCTTGGGGGCAGCTCGCAGTCTGCTGAATGTGTCTGCAGCACAGGGGTCCTCAGGCTCATGTGATGTTTCTTTTCAACTTCAGCAGCCTATGACTTCCCCCAGCCTGCCTCAGAAACAAGCACCGTGGCCAGGGGCCTCTTGCTCTGGAGCCACCCCACTTGCTGGCCACAGCAGACGCCCCCCCACCCCCACCCCACGGGCCTCTGTCGCCTTTCCAACAGATATCCTCTATACACTTGGGCCTCAGAAGTCAATCTGTTTTTTTTAAACAAAACAAAACAACAACAAGAAAAACACTGTAAAAGCAAACCAGGCTTATTGTAAATTATACTGAAATGGACTGGAAAGATAAATGCAGTAATTTCTTTGTCCCACAGCCTTCCCCTCCCCAAATCCTCCATCACCCCACAGTCCTCCTGCCCCAGTGAGCCCAAGTTCTTGCTGTCTTGATGATTTGCAATTCTCTGCATGACTCTGCCTCTCGGGTTTGTTTAATTAGAAATAGGCCTGGGAAGTGCTTCTTATGCACTGGCATGCTAATTGCTTATCAGAGAATGAGAAGGGGTGACAATGTTTGGTGATGGAAATTTCCACTCCCTTCCCCTCTGGCTTTTCTCCCCCAGCCTTCTCCTGCTTCCTGTGCTTTCTCCCTGTCTTTTCCGCCTCTCCTGCTCTTTGTACCCCTTCCCCAGGCTCACAGTTCCAGGGATTGTCTGGGATAGGCCAGAATTCAAACCTGCAGCAAAACCCTGTGCCTTCCTCGCCATTTCCCTCTTCTTTCTCCTCTTCCATCCAGCCCCTCCCTGTCCCCTCTCTAGGCTTTAAAGGGATCCCAGAGCAGAGAGCTGACTTGATACTCAGTACTCGAAGGACAATTTTCCTTTTGTTTCCTTTCCCCCTTATTATGTTTTTCTCATTTAGTTTTATTTTTTTTAGAAAACAGAAGAAAAGAGTGAATTGGGTTGGGGGGAGGGGAGACACATTTCTCCACAAAGGTACAAAATTGCCTATGGAAAGTCCACCTCAGAGTGCCAGCTGGGCAGCCTCTTCCCGAGAGTCCTTTGGAGCAGGCTGGAGTCCGCTCTGGGAGCAGTCCCCAAGATAGGAGGACAGGCCCCCTTCAGCCCTTGCCCAGGAGGGGAAAGAGCAAGCAACTGAGACTGTACAGAGGAACAGAAGAGGAGGGGGCATATCCTGTGGGCCAAGGGCCTGGGGACACAGGCAGGGGACATCCGGGTGGCAGCCCAGGAGCCTCGGGGCATGTTGACCCCTGGGAGGTGGAAGGCTCTACACAGAGTCCTTCTGTCCCTTGCAGATACTCCTCAAGAAGGCAGCGGAGGAGTCCCCACAAGGTAAGGGCCACGTTTTGGTGGGTGCAGGAGCAGCCCCTGGGGCCACAAAGCCCTGTCTGTCTTGGTCCAGCTGTCAGGCCTCAAGCACGTGGGTCCATGTCACTTTCTTGGCAGGGCATCGGCCCAGATTACTCCCCCTTTTTTGAGAAGTAGTCCTACTTTTTTCTCTACTGCTGAGAACAGGCTGAGCTCCAGGAATTTTGAGACAATGGTGGTGACAGTGTCTCCCCTTCTAAGGACTCAGACAGCTTCCGTCCCAGATTCCAGGGCAGGACAAGGGGTGCAGACACTACTCGGACTGAGGGGGGACCCCAGCCCCAGAAAGCCCAGGCTGGAAGAAGAGGCCGCCCACCCACCCCCTGCCTGGGCTGGCCGGAGCCGAAGTGGGCTGCCAGCCCGGCTGCCAGCAGGAGGGCGGCCAGAGCCAGGGTAGCTACGAGCCCAGGTCGGTCCCCTAAGGCTCTGTGGCAAGGAGTGGCCTCTTTAGTCCTGGCCCATACACAAGCCAGTTGGGTGTGGGCATCAGCAAAGGCCACTTGCAGGCAGGCCCAGTACTCCGTGGCCTGAAGCAGGCGGGTGATGTTGTAGCTGTGGGTGCCCCGAGGCAGGCGGGCCAGAGCAGTGGCCCCTTGTCCCCGGAGGGAGGAGACGCTGGACCAGGTGAGGTTTGTGGAGACGGTGTTGGGTGGAGGGACCCAAGACAGCAGGATGTGATAGGGGTGGGTCTCCCGTACCCGGAGCTCTAGCCCCCACCCCTTATTCCTGCCTAGCTGCAGGGGAGCCCGGCCAACCACCACACTAACGGTCTTAGTATCAGCCCCCACCAGGTTCTGGGCCACACAGGTGTAGAGCCCCGCATCCTCCACTGTCACCCTCCGCAGCTCCAGGGTCCCTTCAGGGTACACCTGGTATCGCCTGACTGCACGGGCAGCTGTCAGTCGAACCCCGGCTGGAGTGACCCAGTAGATCTCAGGTTCCGGTTCAGCCAGTGCCCGGCAATGCAGCACCAGGCTCTCTCCACTGGCCACATGGAGGACAGAGGGGAAGCTTCGGGGGGAGATGAGGGGCAGGCAGTGGTCTGTCATCTCTCGGAAGGGCACCTCTCGGACTGGGCGGCGCTGGAGGTCTGGTGGCTCGGCGCACAGGGTGGACTGAGGCTCGATGAAGCGGACACGGGTGCCAGTGGCATTGGCCCAGCGGATGACACAGTCACAGCGGATGGGATTGCCATGAAGACCCACCTCCTGTAGGCTGGGCAGGGACTCCACCGTCTGTCGGTGCAAGGCACTGAGCGCATTGTTGTTGAGCATGAGGGTCTCCATCTGGGGCAGGTGGTGGAAGGCGCGGGGATGGATGAAGGACAGCCGGGGGTTGTTGGTGATGTCCAGCTTGGTCAGCTCGGGGAGGTTGACCAGGGCAAACTTGTCGATGGAGACCAGCTCCTCCATGTTGTTCAGCCCCAGCTCCTTGAGGTGCAGCATATTGGCAAAGTCTCCTGGCCCCACCTGCTGGAGTGGGTTCTTGTTCAGGTCCAGGAACTTGAGGCCAGGCACCTGCTCCAGTGCCCGCCTGGGCACTCGGACCAGCTGGTTGTCATAGAAAGAGAGGCTCTCCAGGCTTTGTAGCCCCTCCAGGGCGTAGTCAGAGATGTCCCGAAGGTTCATGCCTGCTAGCACCAGGCTGCGCAGGTTGGCCAGGGGCCGGAAGTTCATGTCCAGGATGGCGTCCACCTTGTTGCCCCCGATCATGAGGATCTCCAGGTTGGGCAGCATCTCAAACCAGCGGCTGTCCACGGCCCTGAGCAGGTTGGAGTTGAGGTGCAGCCGCAGCAGGTTGCCAAGGCCAGCAAAGGCCCGGGGGGCGATGCGGTGCAGCTGGTTGTGGTTGAGATAGAGCTCCTGCAGGCTGGCCAGCCCTGCAAAGCTGTGGTCCTCCAGCCGGGTCAGCTGGTTTTCCTCCAGGTGCAGGCTCAGCAGCTGGGGCAGGGCATGGAAATCACAGTCTCGGGTGTCTGAGAAGCTGTTCTGGGACAGGTCTAGTTCAGTGAGGTTGGCCAGATAGCCAAGCTCACTCCGGTCCACACGAACGATGCCATTGCTCTGCAGTAGCAGAGTTTGTGTGCCCACAGGCAGCGCTGGGGGCACAGCTGTCAGGAACAAGTCATTGCAGTCCACAGTGGTGGCCTCTCGGTAGGATGAGCGGGGTGTGTACCAGGGCCGGATCTGGCAGGCACATTGAGGGGGGCAGGGAACACGCCAGGGGACCACGGGCACAGCGGCAGTGGCACCAGCCACCCATGCTAGCAAGAGGGGGGCCACGAGGAGCCTCATAGTGGAGCCACGGGGGAGGGAAACCATCCACAGGAAAAGTCTGAAGTTCTGCTCTTAGCGGTTTGCAGGCTGTGGGTCAGCAGCCTGCCAGGGCCTGGGGACCCTCGCTCCTAGGGCAGTCATGGGAGCTAGGTGGGCATCGCTTCTTGCCTTCCTGGGTGTGGCTCTCTGTCCTTGTCCACTGGGCCTGCTCACTCATCGCCACGCCCCAGCAGGGCAGCCCTGAAGAAGAGAAGGCAGAGTTAAGCAGGCGGCAGAGAAGCTGAACCTAGTCCCTCCTCCTGTTTCCCCATCTGACTCAAGAGGCGAAATGAGCTGGACGTGGTGGGTCTCCTGGTTCTGTCCTACAGTCCCTGGGCTTTAGGGTCCTTTTCTAGGCCCTGACATGGGAAGCGAGTGACTGTGAGTCTCCATAGAAGGAGGAAGAGATTGGCCTGAGAAGCTTCCAGAATACTCAGAAAAGGTGTGTGTGTGGAGAAGAGGGGCGGGGTGGCTGTGATTACTGTCATTTTCTGAGTCCTTCTGAGCCTAGAGAGATGTGGAGTCGATTTTCCAAGCTTTCTACATGTCTCCTCGCTAGCTCCTTGGTTCCCTCAGTAATTGGCAAATAAAGTGAGTTTCCAGACACCTCTGTGTGAGGTGTGGGCAGGGAATGGTGAAAACAAGCACAGCTTCTAAATGCCAGGGTGGGCTCAAGGACTCTGGAAGTTGAAAGGCAGTCTGGGGAAGGGCATGGCCCTCCCTGGGGTCTGCTTAAGTTCTCCTGGGGTGGGGCACAGCTTGGGTTTTTGCCAACTTCCCTACAGGGGTTTCCCTTTCCCAACAGCCTGGCCAAACTGCCTGTTGCTGAGATTAAGAAGTCTGGGTCTGAGCTCCTTAGTCCTACAGGTAAGACCTTCTGTCACCTGGCCCTAACCACTTCTCCCGGCTTCTCCTGCTGCCATCCATCCCCCTTGCCCACTGTGCACAGTTCTTTCAGGTTGAATTCACCCTGACATGTCCCCCTTCTCATCGTCTCCCAAGCAACTTCTAGTTGTTCTTCAACACACAACTTAAGGTCAGTCACCTCCTACAGAAAATTCCTCCCAAGCCTCCCTCACCTGGCTGGCTAAAGGGCCTGCTTTACGATCTTATAGGGCCCCATTCTTCCTCCTGTCACAGTCCTGACCACATCACATGGGAATTCCTCCCCATCCAGGGGAGACCATGTCATCATTGGTCTTGCTGTTCCCTCCCTCCCAATCCAGGGGACCAATCCAGGTTCTCTCAGACCCCATAGCTGGGCTGCATCAGCCTGGAGGCAAGTCCAGCCTTGGCCCAAAAGATGGGAAAGACGGAGGTTTCTGGGCTTGGTCTGAGTCCTCTGTGGAGGTCTGGTTTGGGTAGCTTTCCACCTGCCCACATCGGGAAGCGCACGCACACTTGCTGAATACCTGCGGTCTGCCAGAACTCTTCAAAGACTCTAAATGTCTTCTTCTGAGTTGACCTTCAGAACTAGTCTGCAAGATAAACCCTAATACCTCTAGTTTGCAGATGAAGAAATTGAGGTTTGGAAGAGATTAAAGAATTTGCCTCAAGACACATAGGTGGTAAGTGATAGGAGATGGGAATCTACCCAAGTCCAGAGCTTGTGCCAGTCACACCATGCTTCTTGGTCCCCAGGTCTGGCCAGAGCCTACCCTGGCACCCTGGAGTACACTGGTGGCTACAGCGGCAGAGTGGGTACCCATTCTTGTTTCCTGGGGCAATGACTCCTTCTTAGGGAGCTTTGGGAAGCTGCGGGCAATGTCTCCTAAGACTTTATAGGTAGGTACCTCTCAGCTGGCCCAAGGAGCCCTTGCTCACTTCTTCCTGCTTCCAGGACCCTGGGGCCGGGGAGGGCAGCAGCAAGAGGGGTAGTACCTCCCTGAGCAGCAGAGCAGCATGCCTGTCTACATCTGACTACCTCCCACCTTCTTTTGTGGCTATTTCTGAAGGTGGGAGAAACAACCATGATCTAAAATGCACAGAGGTCTTGGGTAGAAGTGCGTGGGCACTGGCACAAAACTCAGGGCAAACAAACCCATGCCACACACATGTGCACCCGTGCACGCCCGGCCGCCTAAGCCCATGACTGGTGGTCAGGAACAGGGAAGGGAATTCTGTCGTGTGATGTCTGGGTGGAGAGGCAGCAGGGACAAGCTGAGTTCCCGAAGGCCCAGTGGTCCTGCTTCTTGCCTAGACGTGGCACAAAAGAGCAGAACCCATCATCAGGGAGATCTTACTATTATGTACTTGCAGCTTCCTACCAGAGCACCCTGGGAACAGCCATTGACTTCTCTGAGCATCTGTTCCTTATGCAGAAAAGAAGTTGTCATTAGGATGAAAGGAACTGAGTATGTTGCACACAGAAAAAGCTCAATAAATGTTACTTTCCTCCCGGTTCCATTCATCCCCTGGGGTTGGGAGGCCCTTCAACTAGGACTTCTGAGAGGGAACAGAAGCTGGATCCTGGAGCTTGACAAGCCTCTGTGAAGCTTCTCCACCGTGGACTCAGTGTTGCCCAAGTTATGGGGTGGGAAGCTGTGTGCAGAAATGTACAATACATATCTCTCACTTTTGAAGAGTACCTCTCTGGCAGGACGCAAAGGGCAAAGTCCAAGGCCATTTGTAAGCAGAGACAAGGCTGACATGGGTGGAGAGGGGTCCTCAGCCCAGCCCCAGCCATATCAGACCCTGCCTGAGTCCCAGGCACCTCCTCTCCAACACCTTTGCTCTAACAGTTTTTTTAAATTTATTTATTTTTTAATTAATTTATTTTTATTGATTATGCCATTACAGTTGTTCTATTCCCCCCCTTCATTCCCCTCCACCCTACCTCCCTGTCCCCATTACCCCCCCCTTTAGTTTATGACCATGTGTCTCAAGTTCTTTAGATTCTATATTTCCCATACTATTCTTGCCCCCGCCCCATCTATTTTCTATCTACCATCTATGCTACTTATTTTCTGTACCTTCTCCCCACTTCTCCTCCTCCCACTCCCCTGTTGCTAACCCTCCATGAGATTTTCCTTTCTATGATTCACTCTTGATCTAGCTGTCCTCTTAATTTGCTTTTGTTTTAGGTGTGGTTGTTAAGAACTGTGAGTTTGCTGTCCTTTCACTGTTCATATTTTTTATCTTCTTTTTCTTAGATAAGTCCCTTTAACATTTCATATAATAAGGGCTTGGTGATGATGAACTCCTTGAATTTGATCTTATCTGAGAAGCACTTTATCTGTCCTTCCATTCTAAATGAAAGTTTTGCTGGATAGAGCAATCTTGGTTGTAGGTCTTTGGATTTCATGACTTGGAATACCTCTTTCCAGCCCCTTTTTGCCTGGAAGGTCTCTTTTGAGAAATCCGCTGACAGTCTGATGGGGACTCCTTTGTAGATGACTGTCCCCTTAGCTCTTGCTGCTTCTAGGATTCTCTCCTTCATTTTAATCTTGGCTAATGTAATGATGATGTGCCTTGGTGTGTTTCTTCTTGGGTCCAACTTCTTTGGGACTCTCTGAGCTTCCTGGATTTCCTGGAAGTCTATTTCCTTTGCCAGATTGGAGAAATTCTCCTTTATTATTTGTTCAAATAAGTTTTCCACTGGTGGCTGTTCCTTTCCCCCTTCTGGTACCCCTATAATTCAGATGTTGGAGCGTTTAAAGATGTCCTGGAGGTTTCTAAGACTCTCCTCATTTTTTTGAATTCTTGCTTCTTCACTCTTTTCTGTTTGGTCATTATTTGCTTTCTTCTGGTCCACTCCATTGATTTGAGTCCCAGTTTCCTTTTCATCGCTATTGGTTTCCTGTGCAATTCCATTCATTTCAATTAGTTTTGCCTTCATATGTTTGTCTAATTTGTGGCTATAATCAACCAGTTCTGTGAGGATCCTGATCACCAGTGTTTTAAACTGTGCATCTGAGAGTTTTGCTATTTCTTCATCGCTTAGATTTATAGGCTCTGGGGCTTTGAGATCTTCTTGAGCCATTTTTGGTCTGTTCATGCCTTTTAAGTGTGAGGAGCGGAGCCCTGGACTCCCAGGTCGCTGGGTTGTGATGCTGTATGTGGGGGTGTGGTCAGAGTAGCGAAATGGCGGCCCCCTCTGCTGTTTCTCGCAGCTGTGTGAGGAGCAGAGTCTTAGGTGGTTCACCAGGGCTGGGCCACTCAGAGTCGCTGGGTTATGATGCTGTATGTGGAGGTGGGGTCAGAGCAGGGAAATGGCGGCGCCCTCCACTGCCGCTTGCCGCGGGGACCCTCTGGGTCCCAGTCCAATCGCCCACTCCCTCGCTTGTCTATCCATGCACAAATGCGCGACCACAGTCAACCCGCAGCCCTGCTCCCTCACTGTTTCCCCACGGTCGCTCGCTCGGTCGCTTGCTCCTCCGTCTTTCACTAGGTCCAACCCTGAGCCTGGATTCCGCGCGCCTGAGCCAGTCTGACCAAGTTTTCCTGTGCAATCCCGCTCCACCAGCTGCTGGTTTTGGCCCTTACCGGTCAGGCTGAAGAATTTGTTGTTAACAGACTTCCGAAAAGTTCAATTTTCTGTGTTCTGGCTGTGTTTTCTGTTGCTAATATTTAGTTGTCTCTAAACTTGGCTGTGTGAGAAGGCACCACATCTCCACCTATGCCTCCATCTTGGCGGAAGTCCTAGACCTCTAACACATTTTTGATGAAGAAACCCCAACCTCCAGAGATTGGCCTTTCCCTGCACCCCAGGCAGCACTCTCCTTGCCACCTCTGGCTAGAACTGGTGACTGAGGCAATGCTCCTGCCCCTTGTCAGGAGGCCAGGCTTGGGATTCAGCACCCAGAGAGAGGCAGGGGCTTGATGACTCATGTCCATGCACCTTTGATCCCAAGACTTGGCAAAGGCCCAGACCAGTCCTCCCCCTCACTGCCAAGCATCAGCCCCTCCCAGGGTGGAACTCAGAGCTGCCCACTCACCTGCCATAGCCATTTAAGGTTGTCTTGCGCACAGCCCACTCATGCAGGCTGATTAGCAATTTCTGCTAGGAGCTCAGAGAAAGCTAATTGTCTTTCATCCACAATCTCCCGGGTGAGCGGGAGTTCAGACTATCACGTGTGCATTATCCCCAGCAGCAGGGCATATCTTATGTGCCTTTTGTGTCCCCACAGCATGGTGTGTAGGACTGAGCACGAGAGGGTACTTGTGAGGGGATACAAATAGTGAAATGGGTAGTCTTCCCACAGCCCTGCATGTGGGTGGAGAAGGAATTTCATCTTTTGCAGGGAAGCAACTGAGGCTCTGAGAGGTTCAGTGACTTGTCAGAAGTTGCACAGCTTCTACGTGGTGGGGTCAGGATTCAAACCCAGGTGTTTGACTCCATAACCAGAGCCTCCAGCCCAGCCAACGCTCACTACCAGGAAGATCAAGGCCCGCCTTATAGGAGCAAAGTGCAGGGCTGGCGCAGTGTGCCAGGCTCCTGTGCAAATCCCTTCAGAGATGGCCTGGGTCCTCAGCTCCTCCTCCCTGGCTACCTGCCAGGCCCCTAAGACACTATTTCTAAACTAGTGTGACTTACTAGAAGAACAGCATAGGGGAGACACTGTTCCTGTGTGAGTGTGGCTGGGCCGGGAACACACAGGGGCAAACAGAGCTGGCAGGCCTCACACAGACCCCAGCCCGCCTTCTGACTAGGAGCTGGGGGTGGCTTTTTTGCCAGCACTGCTGGCCACAGCCTTCAGTGACAGGAATCAGAAAGCCCAGGGACCACAGTCAGGGAAGCAAGGTTGCCCACTCCAGGGGTAAGTTTTCTCTTGGAAGGTTTTCTCTTGCAAGCCCCGTTGGACTCACCTCCTCCGGGAAGCTGCTCTGGATTTAGCAGAAAATGTGGACTTGATTATTCAACTAAGACTCTTGGCAAAACTCTAAATGAAGAGATTTGGAGAAGCTGTTGTCAGGAGCCAGCCCTGTCCCCAGCACAGTCACAGGGCTCTGCCACATCTAAATTGCTGCTCCTCCAGCCTCTGCGGTCTTTCTCCACCCTCCTCTCCCCTCTCTGGTGCCTCCACCCCACCCCTGGGAACCGGGGGTCTGTAGGGAGGAGCGGGCAGGCGGTGATGGATTGCTTGGCCTCGCAGCTTCAGTGCCAGGTCCCCCAGAGCTGCGGAGATAGATGGGCAGCATAATTGAGTGTAGCGTTGATAAACTCCGGCCTCCTCACCAGCAGATAAGCGCTGGGTGGAAGAGATGCAGAGGGAGGGAGGCCAGCCCTCCATCTGTACACCTGGCCTCTGCTCCTCCTGGGAGGCGAGCCTGGCCCCTCACACCCACCTCTCATTTAATCATACACAACTAGGACCTCAATGCTGAGGAGACCTCCGACAGGCTGTGCGTTTATCTAGTCTTCCAGAGCCTGAATTCCATACATAACTTATGCAAAGGTAGAGAGCGAAGGAGCCTGGGCTTTGCAATCAGTTTGAGCCTGGCTCTACCTCTTCCTGCATGACCTTGGGCACAGCGGGTAGCCCTCTGAACGGAATGTCCATGCTGGGAAGTGGGATCAGGCATCGCTGCTCGAAGAACAGCTGTGGGCGGAAGGGTTAGGCAGTGCTTTCAGTCCCCTTCATTTGCCCCTATGCTATGCTGCCTCTCATTCCATCTTACCGCCTACTTCTCATCTCTCACCTTTTGTAATAAACTTTAAAAAATATTATCGAGGTATAGAATTTTACAGGAGAGTGCATAAAGGTCCCTAATTCTAAGTATACAGCTGGATAAATTTCTACATTTGTGGATAGCAGTATAATACCACTCAGATCAAGATGTAAACATTTCCAGCATTCTGGAAGGTTCTTGGAAAGGTGCCTTCCCAGTCAATATCCAGGCCCATCTGGATTAGCCACTGTCCTGACTTCTATCACTGTCAGTCAGTTTCATCTTGTTAACACAGACCTCCCCTTCCTTTTCCATCACAACTTGGGACCACGGTGTTTGGAAACTTTAGGGAATGCTAGCAATTTCCTAAGGGCTATGGCTTCTCAGGGTCTCAAACTTAATCAGCCATCTCCAGAAAGGGAGACTGAGTCCTCTTCCTCGTGCTGTAACCCCCATTTCTAGAGATTGCTCTGTGCTTTAGGGCCCTGCTCTGGCTGGGATCCTATGGCCTGTGAGTGCCAGGCTGCCTCAGGAGATAGCAGGAGGACCTCCTGGCCCGAGCACCCCTAGCTACCCTGTGGCTC